AAAGAAGGCATGTAGGGCATTAATTAAGCCAATAAGGATATCTTGGTTACTTACTAAGAGCTCGGTAATATCTGCTCATCACTGATCAAGTAATGGGATAAAAGTGCCCCTGGCTGCATAGACCTTGTAGAATAGTGGGGGAAAGACAGAAAATGTAATATTTATTGCTATGATTTAAAAAAATATACAGGATTTTAATTAGGATGGTAAGGAATAAAGGATATTTCAAATGAAACGATGAGGCTTTCCCTTATGTACTATGTGGTAGAATGCTATTTCAGAGAATAGAAAAATAAATGCAACCTGCCTTGAAAAAGACTCCCGGTGGTATATGCATAAGCAGTAAGATCGAAGTGAACCCTGCCTGTAGGTTCCTTGGTGTCAGCTTGCCCAGCTGTACACAGCATTACTGAGAGTCAATTTGAGGAATATGAAAAGGACCAGTGAAACTAGAACATAGTTAGAGAAGAAAACTGATCTAGACATAAGACTGCAGAGAGTTATGGGTCAGAACTGTAGGAATAAAGTTGGATTGCAGGAGCCCAGTTAAACGCATTTTGTCAGCAAGATGTAATGAATTTGGTCAGAGGTAGAAGTTCTAAGAAGTACAGTCAACCTCCATATCCTTAGGTTCTGTGTTCTTGGACTTAACCAAACACAGAACACAAATAGTTGGAAATGTAGAAAAATGATTCTATATTTCTTTATTGTTATTCCCTAAACACAATATATAATGATTATTTATATAATATCTTCATCCCTTGAATCATCAAGTTTTTGTGCTATATAAGTGATTGATTCAATTGTAAAGCTTGTTTTGGAGAAGTTATTTTTTAGCATTTCAGTTTGATATCTAAAAACCTGTGGATTAGAATCTTGGTAAAATTGCTGTATTAACATTCTCTTCCATTGTAAATGTATTTCTGATTCATACATCACAACAGCTATACATCTAGGTATGATTTTTTTGCAATTTGATATATAAAGTAATTAAACGTCAGAGAGGATAAGTAATCTGGCTCTTATTTCCAAGCTAATAAACTATTACACAAAGTTTAACTTGTGATTCTCTAACAACAAAGTCAGTGCCTCCTCTCCCAGCATAGTGCAAGACAGGAACAGAAGAGCAGAAGAGCAAAGGACAATCCCAGGAAAACTAAGTTCTTAATACCATAACTAATGACCATGACCTATAACCTTGCTTTAGGAAGTAGAAAACTAGAAAAGTTTATCTTTCTAGAAACAAAGACAGCATTTTTTGTTGATACATCCTGGTTGATTAAAATAAACCATATTTCAAGGTCTCCTGACTAGTATTGTATATATGGTATGTGTATAAACTGGAAGAGAACACACAACAGAAAAACATTGGCACCTTCTAGATTTAGAACAGTGGTATATTTAATTTGTGTGCATTTATGGATTTCCATTCAGTTATTCAATAAACAGTCTCTTCTTTATAATAAGCATTGTGCTAGTTGTTTGTTGTTCCAGAACTTAAATATTTCAGTAAGATTTCACAAGAAACAGGGCTTTTCTAAAACTGGACCCATAAATGAAAAGTTTCTATGGATTTAGGATACTCCAAAATAATATTAGAATATTGAATAAAACAAGGGGCTATGTTCTGTGAGCCTTCTGAAGCCATTTCAGTACTGAATTTGCTTTGGCTTCAGTAGGAATGTTGACAGGAAGCTGAAAATGATATCCACTTGTGCTCTGCAAAGCTAAGACTAAGGTCCTTTTCTGTTGAGGGAAATCTCTCTTGTGAGTCCAAGGCTGAGGGAACTCTAAAGATTCAGCTGTATAGTGAATGAACTGATTCATTCTAGTGAAAAGTTTGCTAGTTTTATTTCTAGAGTCCTGTGGGCACCCTGTGTCCTTCATGTTATTACATTATTTCCTTTTACGTTTTCATTGCAGGGACCTCATAAAGGTGAAATAGCTGATCCAATATTTTGTTCATTTTTCATAGTAATACAGTTTCTTGAGCCAGGTGTGATTACACACACCTATGATCCTTGCACTCTGGGAGTCTGAGGCAGAATTTCAAGTTCAAGCCCAGCCTGGCTAATTTAACAAATTAATTTTAAAAGGATTGATGATATAGCTCAGTGTTTAATCCACAGCACTGTAAAAAGTATATAAAAATAATATAATGTCTCACATTCAACTGATATTTTGCTCTTTGTTGGAGGAAGCCCTGTTATCTTTTAGCCCTAAATCATTGTGCTTATCAAAAGCTTACTTATTAGAGTTAACAGGCCTTTTGAATGGTACTACTTCTCTTGATTGTAAACTATGAGTTCAACTGGTTTCTTAAGATACATTCATGAGGAGATGGAGTTGGTGTTGGTAGGGGTATGTAAAAACGTCTTGATATCTGTAGTTTTACTTGTGGGACAGAACAATCCCATGAATGGGCCTCTTTCCCCTATATTTGCTTGAATCATTAAATTGCCTTTATTTCTAGATCAAAATTGAAGACTGACAATTTTCTATGGCTAAATAAATTGGATAATCTAGTTTTGGAAAAAGGTCATGTCAGGGTATTTCATATCAGCAAGGCAGGATTCACAGGGTTCACATTAAGTCATCATTGATAATATAACCCGAAGACATTGTAATTACTAGACATCTAAAAGATTACTGTTTGTGATGGAAAATACATCAATATGCTCTTTACATTAAGGAGGTTAAATGTGAGAGACGTTTTTGAATTCCAGTTAATCATGCAGTTGCCTTCGAATCTAGGCAGATCTGATCAATTACAAGGGCTAAAGCTGAGCCTCTGCAGACTATGAACAAGGGATGGAAGGTAACTTGATTCTCTCCTCCACAGGGGGGGAAAAAAAAAAGCTGGACATCTTATCCAGGCTCTCATTTTAGTACTTCTTTGTGAACAGAAATACCCACATTTTAAAGGCTCTTATTATCCCTGATACCAAAGCCAAAGAACACACACAACTATAGACTAATATCATCAGCCATTATCTATATCATTTAGACATAAAAATCCTCAACAAAGTTTGGCAAATCATATCCAGCAGTATATCACATCTTAATCATTTTGCCCAGCTAAGTATAAAAATTATATATTATTGCCAAATGGGATTCATTTCCTATATGCAATACTGGTTCAATATTTGAAAATCAAATTGTATAATACATCACAACAGACTAAAAATCATGTCATTACAATTGATACTTAAATATGTATTTGTCAAAATCTAACACCCATTCATTATATAAAAAGAAAAACTTTCAGCAAACTTGGAATAGAGAGGTATCTTCCTCAACGACATAAATTATAAAACCCTACAATTAATACTAAATTTAGTGGTGAGAAAGCAGATGCAAAAGACTAGGGAGAATGTGTGCCCTCTGCATACCTATTGAACATTGTACTAGGAAATACTAGCCAGTAGAACAGGGCAAGAGAAAATAACAGGCACTCAGACTAGAAAGGAAGAAATGTGTATAGGCTCGAGAGGTGAAAACAGACACTGAAATTCCAGATGAGGTTAATCTTGGAATTAGCAGAACAGAGTCACCATGGAAAAAATTGAAGACTACTTAATAACTACACTACAACTGTTGATATTATGCAAACACATCTCACTGTGGATTGCTATAATCTTTTGTAGTTCTTGCTGTGAATCTGTACTGCTTGACAGGTTCACTCAACATCTTCAGTTTCAACCTCATGATAGAAAATGCTGAAAAAATAATTTGCTGATTTTTGGAGTGGTGACCAAGTTTTCCAGACATCACTGCAGAGGTATAAGCTGTCATAGTCCCTCTTCTCATGCTTCTTTTTGCAACCAGTAAAGGCTGTTCATTCAGGGGAAAAAAATGGTGAATTACTAACTCTTATTTTATTTACTATCTTATTGATATGGAGAGATATACCTGGTATTTTGAGGCCTGAATGTAAAGGTTTTTTCATTAGTACATGTTTGCAGTACATAATGATTACATTTATCATGGGTGAGTTTTTATGTGTATATAACACACCTTAATTCTTTTCTCATCTCCTTCCCCTTACATCCCTCCCTGCTTCCTCAACTCCTGTTCTCCTTCCCATTTGCAAATGTTCTGTGTCAGGTAAAAGGGCCGAAGACCAAGACCAGACCAGGCCACAACAAGCCTTTATTAGGGGAATAGATCTGCCGGGCTGTCTCTGAACAAAGGAGAGACAAAAGCAATATGGCAGGGGCAGGGAGAGTCTTTTATAGAGACTGGGGTGGGGTTTGTAGGGGCAGAGGTGGGGTTGAGTGAGGTAGTGACTAGGGAATGGAGGAGCCCATGATGTCACTAGATGGTAGGAGCTGAGCGAGTATTAGGTTACTTTCTAGGCAGGAACAGGGGCATACTGGGAAGAAGGGTTTATTCTTTGGTGGGAGCAACCACCTTGGCATGACATCACACAGGGGAGGGGGCAAGGCACCATAGGAAGAGGGCAGCTACTATACATAATAGCTGCTGAGGTGGTGGGAGACCTATCATTCTGTTTCCATTTTTTTCTTCAAATCTCTTTCTTCCATCCTTGAATATAAAGTCTTAAAAAAGAAATAGTCATTTTAAAAAGGAAGTCACATTGGTGTTCCTTTCTGAACAAGGTGGCACACACGAACAGCTAATATATACAGAGTATTTACTATGTACTATGTTTTGTTTTACATTCACGTTTACTCCTCAGTATAGTCTAAGTTCAGTAAAATTCTTACTGTGTTTTAGATTGAAAAACCACAACTTTGGGAGTATTTAGTAATTTTTCTTTTTTTTTTCCAATAAATTTATTGGTACATTTTAGGTATAAATTATGGTCACATTCAGCATTGGGAATTTGTACCTGTACATGATATATCTTGGTTCTTATTTTTTCCTTATTCCTCTTCCCTGCTTTCAATCCCTCCACCCCTCCCTATCTACAAAAGCTTTGTTTTCGTTTTTTCCTTTTCTCTTTTTTTCTCTTTTCTTTCTTTTCCCCCATCCCCTCCCCCTACTTCCCCTTCCCCTTTGAATATTTTCTTCCTGTTTCACAGTATCTGTTAAACATTTTTGTCCTCATTTACACTTTCAGTTTCTCACACCAGAGAAACAATACCAAATTGTTGGTATTTAGTAATTTTTCTGACTTTACACAGGTTGCAAAAGTATGACTAAAATCTTTTCTTGAGATCTTGGTGCCCACTCTCTTGGCTAATAGACATACAGCCTCTGCTGTGGAGGCCTTTGGTAAGTTAGCTTAATTTACATCCCAGAAAGCTTTGCAATGTTTTTCTTCCCATTTGTCTTCTTCCTAGTCACTCATCTTGACCTACTCTTTAATCTCTCCATGTAGGTTAAAGTCAATTAGAAAGGTGACATGAATTGCAAACTCTGTAGTTGCATCCATATTTCCTAATGGTACTTCATATCCACCTATGTAATTCTTCCATTCTTATACTCAGGCATTTATTCACTGAGAATACAAAGATGAGTTGACCTACTCATTGCTCTTTTGAGTTAAAGGTTCCTGTTTCTGAGGCTTGGGAACAAAGCAGGCTGGCACTGATGTCTACTCATTTTCTATTGCTGTCATTGGATATTTTCATCCCTTACTTAAGGCCTGACAGATCCCTGTAACCTATTTCTGCTCACCAAGTTTTACCCTTCATTGGATAACTCAAATTGTGTCTATGAAAGAGCAAAACATTCAGAGACAAAAATAGGTAAAGCTTTGAATTCAGAAATGTAAAAATTCTAGACTGGAAGATGGCCAGGAACCATGAAGTTCATAAGTAATAGCCGAAGGCACAGCAAGTACCTTGGTATATGTATGTCTCCAGGAGTGTTCAGAATTAGACACTTAATTTGAAACAAGTACTGTTCTATCCACACAGCTGGAAGAAGTATGAAATCAAGGACCTGATCTGTCCTATGCCTCCTGGTAAGAAATGGATGACAATAAAGAGTTTGCTTAACTTAAGTGGAATGTATTATAGTGTTATGCCCATAAGGACAAATATGGATAGCTGCAAAATAGTTATTTGTTATAAACATTTCACTGAAAATAAGCTATAAGTACCGTAACAGTATCATTGCATTAATTTTTCAACTGGAATTAACTCTCCTAATAAAGTGTCAAAGTTAATATCAATGGAACAATATAATGTCTTAAAGAAAGAAACCTCAATTTTAAAGCATAAGTTTTCCAGGCCTATGGTAAGGAATTGGGTTTGGATTTAAACAAGAGTAATTTAGAGCCCAGCAGTTTTGGAGGCTGAAAGTCCAAAATCAAAATGTCAGCAGGATTGTCTCTTTCCAAGGGCTGTGAGGAAAGGAGCTATTGCTGGCCTCTCTTTTTGTTTTGGAGGTGGTCATTGTTTTCATGTCACATCTTCTATCTGTATTTGTTTGTGTTGTAAGGACATCAGTCAGACTAGGGCTTTCTCTGGTGACCTCATTAACCTAATTACCTCTGTGAAACTTCCCAGGTCCTGGGGCTTAGGACTCCAACTTATCTTGTCGGCAAGGGATAATTCAACCTCTGACAGCCTGTATAATGCTCTTTGTTGGTTGCGGCTTTTCAGACAAGGCTATCAGTTAAATAGATGAATTTAGTAAATACATGTGTTCCAAATAATTTTTTGCATATATAATTACAATTCACAAATCCAATCAGAAATTTAGGAATAAAACTCCATAATTTTAGTCATTTGAATGACTTGGAATAAATAGAAGGGAAAATGAAATGCGTTATTAATTCCCAGATTTCACTTTATCATCACAGCAAGCAGAATGATGTTAATCAGCAAATGATACTGTGGGTTCCAGTTCTCTTCAGACCTTTCCTTTGGAAGGACTCTGCAGAATTGATCAATGCCCTAAAGGTAGGTAGCTGAAAAGAAGTTTGGGCTAGCAATTCATATACCTTAATGGTTAGTTCCCTGCCAACAGTTTAGTTGCCACAGTGGCTGAAAAGTTATATGCGATTTCCTAGCTTTGTATGTGTCACTGTATACAGCTATATAATCTAAATTAGTGAAAAGGTTGTTTCCAGTAGCCAGGCTGCTTTCCATTGCTTACAGCACTTAACAAAGAACTACCCAGCATTCAATAACCTCTTTGATACAAAAATGTAAGGGCACACAAAATACCCTCTAAAGAACAATCTGTAAGCAAGAAGAGGCTATTAACATAGAGGCTTCATATTAAATGGAAAATTTAAGCAGCAGAGCCAATTATAGGTTTATTTCTAATTGCTGAAGAGACTTCAAAATAGAGGATTTAAAAATCTGCCTCAAAATGATTTCTTTTAAGTAAAATTTTTTAAAATTATGATAGGCCATATATCAAAAGGAACATCCAGGTTGCCTATCAAAGTAATTGCTTTCTCCCTCTCACTAGATTCAAGGCACAAGATAATTACCCCTCTGTGATGCTTTGTTATCAGCATTATAAATAAACCACTCAGGTGGCACCCAAGAGTAGTACCCCAGGACTCCTCCATCGAGCCTCAAAACTATAATTTGTTGCAAACACTCTAAGCAAAATACATTCTTTCTCAGTCTCTAGACTTGATAATTAGATGTGTTCAGTTAGAGTTAAAAATAAAATGAAGTAGAAGTAGAACATTTTCCAGGTGCAAGTTATTAATCTGAAGTGCTAGCAGACAGAGAGGGACTTCAGAAAGAAAATTCACGTATTTTGTGGAAGTCTTGTGTTTTGGACACTTTGCTAAGTGCTTTATCAAACGTATCTTTTTATTCTTCACAATAACCTATTAACACAATCATTTTGTGGATGTCAAGAAACATACGACTTATACAGCAAGTAAATGAAAGAAACAGGACATAAACCCAAGTTTGACTCCAATGCTTACATTCTTTCCATTCACTTCTAAAAAATAAGGCGTAAAGGTGGAGAGAATGTATAGAGTACACTAATTTTTTTAATTCATTATAAGATGTACTACAGACTGGGTAGTTTAAAAAATATGCATTTATTTTTCACACTTCTGGAGGCTGGGAAGTCCAAGAGCAGTGTCTTATCAGACTGGGTTCCAGTGAGGACCTAGTTTCTGACTTGCCTGTGTCTGTCCTCTTGCTGCTTGTCTTGACGGTGCATACAGAATGGTTGAAAGCCATTTGTTCTGTCTCCTCTGATAAGGGCGCTAATGCTAATCCCCTTCTTGAGGGTCATGATCCAATTGTCTCTCAAAGGCCCTCCCTCCTAACCATCTGATTGAGGGGTAGAGGACTTCAGCATTTGAATTTTGGGAAGACACAGACATTGAGTCCATAACATCTGGCTCTTCACACTTTGACCCCTGATGTCATTATCAGAATTATTTCTCTGCTATGCCTTGGCCTAAACCATAGTCTGTAAACATTTCATGGGCATACTGTTCTTTCTCCCTGGAATGCTTATTTCTATTCTCCATTTGCAAGAAATTCTTGACCAAATGTAATACCATTTGCAGAGATGTTTGAAAATTTGTCTGGTACTTATGTCACAATGGGGTGCTGTAAGCCAGTAAGTGCTCTTGGGCTGAGACTGCTTAACAATACGCATTGCCTTGCCTTGCCGTGTTAAGTCACCTCCACACAACAGAGACTCACTCTGTGCTAAATTCTCCTAAAGCACCTTCTGGAGACAATGACCTTACTCTCTCAAGTCCCATCTTTGAAGATTTCACATCCTCTACTCCTGGGCCTAAATGGTCCTTTCCCTCTGCAAAAATTAAGAAACACTTCTGCCTATTAGTCTATATGTTTTATGTTAATGTATTTTTTAAAGTACTTTTTTTTGGTACTGGATATCAAACTCAAGACCTTGTGCTTGCCAGGCAGTCTTGGTGCCACTGAGGTAAATCCCAATCCCTTGTATTAATGTATTTTTAATTCAGTTATTAGTTAATCTTTTTTCTCACATCTTTCTAGGTGTTCATTTTATGCTTTTTGACTGTTTTTCTTTATTCACAATATTTATATAGCATCCATGTGCCAGTCACTGTTTTAGTTCTTTATGTATATATTAACTTATTTAATCTTCTTCTTAACTCTGGAGTATTATTATTCTCATTTTATAGATGCAAAATATGAGGAACAAAAGGTTGGAAAACTTCCACAAGTATCAGAAATGTGATTCAAACCCAGGGAATCTGATTGATATTTTAACCATTAAATTTAAACCAACATGGATTATGTAAAGGTGCAAATTTCCAATGATGAATATCATTATATTGTATACTGAAAGTGTACCAATAAAATTAATTTAAAAAATTTAATGACCTCACCTAACAAAAGTGCTAAGTGTCTATTGTTAAACACCAAAATAAGACTTTAACTCTTTAGAAAATACTAATAAAATTTGTTAGGTAAGAGGCCCAAAGTTGGTTACCTGACCTAAATAAAAGAGAGAAGGAAGAGTTTCCAAAAGGATGAATTAAACATGGAGCATCAGATATGAGGCAAGTGGAGGATAGATCGAGACAAATCAGAAAAGAGTCTTACCAAATAGCTTGAATTTCCTTTTGTGTAGAGTAGATTACATCAGTCAGCTTTCTATTGCTTTGATAAAATACCACAGTCAATCAACTTAAAAAGAAGAAAGATCTTTTTTAGCTCTCAGCATTCCTGGTTTCAGCCCACAATCTGTTGACCCATTGTGATACTTACCTCATAGCAGACAGAAAGCAAAAGAAAGAGGAGAGGCTGGGGTCCCAATATCCCCAGTGATCTAAAACTGCCCACTAAGTTCTACCTCCCAAAGATTCCACCACCTCCCAGTAGCTCTACAGGCTGATGACTAAGCCTTTAGCACGCCAGCCTTTGAAGGACACTGAAGGTTCACACTATGACACTGGCCTTAAGCAAGGAGTGATTAGTCAAGAGTTTTGTGAAGATTGCTGAGCATATAAGTGAAGATGATCCGAGGACACAACTCACAGGGATGAGAGCTGCCAGGAGACTGATAGTCCAGAGCAAGAGCTGCTACTGAGGATGATGGTGGCGATCTTAGTCTGTTTGTACTGCTATAAGAAAATGCTACTGACTGGGTAAGTCATAGACAAGGGAAATTTATTTGTTGTAATTCTATGGGCTGGAGTGTCCCAGATTAAACCACTGGCAATGGTGTCTTACAGGGGCAGCTTTTTTCTTCCAAGCAGCTTTTCTTATAGCAGCACCTTGTTTCTATCTTCACATGGTAGAAAATAGAAGAGCAAGAAAGCTAAATGCTGAAGCCTTTTTATAAAGTTATTAATTTCATTCTGTAGAATTCTACCCTCATGCCTTAATCACCTCCTAAAGGCCACATCTCTTTATACTATCATATTGGTGATCAAATTTTAACATATGATTTTTGAAGGAGACACATACATTCAAACCATAACAATAACAATGATGATGATCCTCAGAGAGGCTCAAACTAGGCATCAGTATTTCTGCCATGGCCTAATATGGAACATTCTCTGCACACCACACTGAATTCTCATTATTCACTCAACTTCCAGCATACACCAAGTATCACCCATATATCCTGTTTTGGATAAGTGAATTGCAAATCAAGCCTGTATTTCTTACATTCAAATGGGGCTGGCATCATCTTATGCTGCAATAAGTGATGGTAAAGGGATTTTGATATTTAGATTGAATTCTAATATTGCTTTGATTACTAGCATTATTAAACCTCTATTAATATACTTCATTAATTGTATGAATAAGGGAAATACAAAGGCCAGAACATGTTAGAAAAGAAAGGCATCCATACCTTTTCTGGGGTTATTGTTGCTTATCTTCTGAAGAACAAATGGATATTTTATTATAAGCCTAGGAGGTATTTAAATGAATGTTTTTTTCTTCTTTTGGCAGAGACCACTATATTTTCATTTTTGTCTGAAACAAGCTTTATTTATTTATTATTTATTTTTTAATTTGCAAACTAGCCAGTCTCTGTCCTTGGTTCACTTCCTTGGATGTTCCATGGAAGTCAGTGGGATGTGGAATAATTAGCTAACAGCTGAGACTGGCTGTGTTCCTATGTGATTATTATGGTAGGAGGCCAGACAGAACAAAGAGCTGCTTTTGTATGAACAATTTCTCTACAGCGTGAATTTTAAAGGGGCTGCTTGGAGGAAATGATGACTCTAGCAGATCTGTCTGGTCCTCCCTTTCCACTTTCTCCTGCCAAGCAGCCTATTTTATAGATAGCTGGGAGAAAGACAACTATAAAAAGACTGTACGAGGTGAGTGCATGTGTATATGTATGTGTATGCTCTTTAGTGTGTTTGTGTCTGTGTGTATGCAATGTGTGGTGTATGTGTATAGTGTTTACATCTGTGTATATATTCAAGTTCAGGGCAAAATAAGAATGGCAAGGGAATTCAATGACACAGTTTCCCTTTACCTCCTTAGGTAAGCCACACAGCAGCTAAGTGTCTCAAATTCAGCACATTTCTCCTGGTTAGCAGTTGATGCACCTGCGTCCCCCAGTGTACTATATGTGACCAGAGCACATGATCTATGTATTCTCAGTCTATGCCCAGTGTGGTATTCGGCACAGGAGATCACAGTTGGTCGAATTGACTATGATCAAATCAATCCCTATTGATTTGCAGTAGTTGCTTCTGCTCATCTTACTTTGTTGCTCCAGAAAATTCTCTCAAGCATGGAAACATGGTTGTTTTTAGTACTTAAGGTAGATTCAATGTTAATATGTGAGTCTTTAATCACTGATGAATAGCAGTTCATATAAAAAACATTCAGATTGTTTGTAAGAATATTTAAACATTTTTAAATTTGTTAGAATTCAAACAACTAGAAATTTGAAACTCACTGGAAATATAAAATAGTACAGTGAAATGCTGTATCATCTGTTAAGGTTTCAATAGTAAGTATTCCTCAAACACTCATGTATTCAAGTCTTGGTCTCCAATGCAGCAGTGTTCAAAGATGGGGACTAGAGAGGTGACTGATCATGAGGGCACTAATGCCATCAGTGGATTAATCCTTTGATGAGCTAGCAGATTGGGCTGTTAGGAGTTGGGGCTCAATTGGAGGAAATAGCTCCCTGGAGGCATGGGTTTTCAGAGAATATCTTATCCCTGATCTTTTCCTCCCCTGATCCCTTGCTTTCTCTCTGCTTCCTGGCTGCCATGAGGTGAGCAGCTCTCCTCCACCTTGCCCTTCTGCCATGTTGTTCTGCCTCACCTCAGACCCTCAGCAATGCAATCAGCTAACTATGGGCTGACATGTCTGAAAATATGACCCAAAATAAATCTTTCCTCCTTTAGGTTGTATATGTCATATTTTCCCAGCAGTGGAAAGGTGACTAAAATTCATCCATCAAAATGCCAAGAAAAAACAATGCCAAGAATAAAAAAACAAAACAAAACATGTACTCGTAGCTCTCAGAGAGGCTGATGCAAGAAGATCGCAAGTTGAAGCTTAGCCTAAACAATTTAGCGGTGTGGTGATTTGTAATAATGGAGAGAACAGCTGACTCCAGCCTTGATTTTTTTGAATTAAGGCATATTTTTATTAACTTGTGCCTGATAAAACAGCTACAATTTGGCACTACTGTGAATCTTTTCTTCTTAGAGATTCTGTTAACAAATTGGGTTGGACATACCTCTTTCCTAAAGGGAGGTTTCAAATATTTATGGGCTTTCTGTGTATTTGTGCATTTCTTTACTTGACTTTCCATTATTTGTGCATTTCTTTACGTGACTTTCCATTATTTGTGCATCCATTTTTATATACTCTTAAAAATCAAATATCTTTTGTAAAGATTGGTCTTTATTTTCAGACATGGATTTGTCCTTTATAGTTTTATTGAGTACAGTTGGTCAAAGGTGATTGTATTTGATTTTAACCTTGCTACGTGGACAGTTATGATAGGGTTGTCTCTATAACTTTAAGAATAATCATTTTTACCACATCAATCTCTCTTTTCAGTCTAGAAATGTCACACTAGATCCTATTGTGGAAAAGGTATATGGCATGATTGAAATATAGAGAGACTTGGATTTAAATCTTGGATTATTTTTGTTTCTATTGCAATAAAATAAACCATTTTAAAATGAGACCAAGCATGAAGCAATACATATAGAAGTATCTAGGAAGGTACTCAATAAAAGTTAACTCCATTATTTTTGGCTTCTCATTGTCTTTCCTTGCTCTGTTTTACACCCCTCCCATGAACAAAAACTATTTTATAAACAGTAAAATCTGTATATGTATATTTTTATTCCAAAACATATAAACATCTTTCCATTCACTCGGATCCATATCCCCATAAAACTTTTGAGCAACACAGTAACTTTTGTGAGATGCTATTTTTTATTTCACTAAGAAAATGTTTACTTTATTACATTTTATTTCCCCTAATTGGATTTTTAAAACATGTTACTGGTTATTCCCAAGATCATAGAAAATATACATTATGTTATGATAAAAATATGATTAGCTAAAACATAGTGATTCCCTGGTAAACTGGGGTTATTTGGAGAGCAATTCCCCTCACAATTCTGAAGTTTTTCTTCTGCAGACTCATATGCATTGTTACCAACACCGCTCCTAACAGGTAGTCATTCCTGATTATTGATTGGTGTGAATGCTCACCATCTTGGCAGAGAGAGGACTCCACCCAGCCTGTAACAAGAGTCCACATGATTTAGTTGCAGAGCACTGAGTGGCAGTGGTATGTGTCACTGATAATTCCAAACAGGCAGAGAAAAAGCCTTTCTTGGTTCTCAGTCTTTCTCTGAAGGGACCTGTGTTAGGTGAAGAAATCGTAAACTGTGAGGCTCTTAGAGTTTGAAGTCACTTGATGGAGAATGGCTGTCTTTGAATGAACAGAAGACTCCACAGGGAAAAAAAAGATGTATACGGAGTTAATCTTTAAGAGCTTAAGGTGCCTATAAGCATAATATATCTCTTTTTTTGTCAATTTAATGTTAAGTCTAAATTCAGTTAAAGGATAACTTGAATAATTGAATTCCCACTTTGTAACTAATGTACCTTTAAACAATATTTGACTTAAAATTATTTGAATACGTGTACATATATATCTTCATTAAAAGAGAAAAGCTTTTTATAGCAATTAATCTATTATAATAATTATATAATTATAATAATAATTTATTTTCCTTAGGCATCCTTGATTAAAAAATGAGCAGTATTTTCAAAAATGATGTAACCAGAACATAGTACACAGTTATTAAAAAAAAGCTTCCTCTCATAAAAGACTGTAATCACAGACCATAACTCAGTCAAAATCCCCCTTTTCCTATAGAAGTGCACTCAGTTCTTGTGACGTAATGGAATGCAACAATGAAAATCACAGGTCGTGAATTTTGGGTGTTTCTTTATTCAATGGATAGTACAAATATTTTGGTGTTAGACTCCAGTCAAATCAAAGTTGGTTTCTTTGATTGTATTGGTCAGCTTTCTGCTGCTGCTGGGATAAAAATACTTGACATACACAGCTAGAAGGAGGAAAAGTTCATTTGTCTCATGGTTTCAGAAGTTTCCGTCCATAATTAGTTAAGCTGTAAGGCAGAAACATCATGGTGGAAAGGTATGGCAGAAAAAAGTACTCAACTCATGGCATACAAGAAGCAGAGAGTAGAGAGAGCTAGAGAGGAAGGAGCTAGGACTAGATATAATCCCCAATGTCAGCCCCCAAGACCCACCTAGATGCACCCAGAAGTATGCTTTACTAATCTTCTGGGTGCCTTTCAAGCCAATCAAACTGACAATCAAGATTAACTATCACACTGATGAAGACCATAAGTACACCTGTCAGCTATGATATTAATTACTAGCATCTCCATTAGATTTACAAACACCTTTGTAGGCTATAAGATTCTGTTTCATCAAAATGGCAGTGTAGCTATGAATGATTTTTTTTTTTTTTGTAGGAATGAAGAACTCAAAAAGACTTCTTATTCAGTCCAAGGTTGTCTTCCAAGATGGTGTTAGATTCCTCTCAAACACTTGGAACAGTGTATAATCAAAACCCGAGAGTTCTGACACGTAGCATAAGGCATTCTTCCCCCAGAATATTTAGGGCATTTGATGTACTTTATCTTGACATAAAGAATATCAACAGCTCCACTAAAATGATTTTAATTGCACTCTGAAGTATCTCCTGGATAAGTCACCTGAAGCATGAACTTCATAAAATTTTCAGAAGGTACTTTAGATAATGGTTAATGAAAACTATCCATTGAAATGTTAAAAACTTTTAATTTTCAAAGATTATTATTCTGATGTAGTTTAATTTTTTTTTTTTTTTTTTGCGATACGAGGCATCAAACTTAGGACCTTGTGCTTGCAAGGCAGGCAGCAGTACCACTGAGCTAAATCCCCGGCCCATTCTAATGTAGTTCATACTAAACCATTCTAAGAAAAAGTGGCCAAGAATCTTTTTGTATTTGAACTTAGAAAAAAAGTCAACATATATAAAAAATATCAATCCTTCTGATTTTTACTGCAATCAATTGCTATTATGAATTACTCCATAACTTACATTGATAGATGACTTATTTGTATATTGCTTTGGAGTACTTTTACATATATTAATAAATATTAATAATTGCCCTTTGAGAAATATATCTACATTTTACAAGTAAGATTGAAGGTGCAGAGCCTCAAAGTGATTAAATATTATGCCTAGTATGTTGTGTGAGAGTAGGATTGACCAGAAAACAAATACAAAACACTTTGATTAAAACAAGATAGTTTTTTTCTTAAACTCTTATGTTTATTCCTTTCTCAATTTCTAGGCTGCTATACCATGTCACTAGTCAGGAATCTAGGTTCCCTCTATCTTACTCCTCTGTAGTGTAAGGGTTTCTTTTCCAAGGTCACCAATTAGTCCAAAAGGGCTGCTGAAGCTCCAGTAATATGATCACATTCTAGTTAGAATTGGGGGAAAAGGAAAAGGAAGAATAGTTTCTGGAAATTACATTTTCCTTTTCCTGACAAAATCCTTTAGTCATATGGTTATAGCTCAGTGGAAAAATATCTTTGAAATCTCATTCTGGGTAGTCATGTGTAGAGCTAAAAATGGTGACTGGTTCTATTACTGTAAAAGTACAAATGAACGCATTTAGTGGATCAACTTCAGGTATCTGCTAGTAGTATTTCATACCTAGTAAATGATGAACCTGGTCTAGAACCTAAGCATCTTACTTTTTGTCCTATGAGTAATCGCAGTGTGCTGCCATATAAGTAAAAAGGAGATAATTTTGTCAATAGCCTTGATATTCATCATTAAATGCTGTGGTAATATCTACCAGGGGACTCTCGGCTTGCTGTTACTTGTGAGCATTTTGTAGCCCAGGCTGGCCTCAAACTCAGGGCAATCCTCCTGTCTCAACCTCTTGAGTGGTGGGATTACAGGCCTGCGCCACCACGCCCGGCTACATATTATCTTTGAAGATATGTTACTCACAATTCTGCTATCATTAAAGATTGATCTGTACAAAAACTCTATGTGAAATTAAATTCCTAAATGATTTTCCTGAGAAAGCTAAAAAAGAAAAGTCTTATGGTGTTCCTAACTGTTTTCTTCTTAAGAACAGAGTGTATCAGAAATCAGCTGTGAAATAATGGATCCGCTTGCACCCCATGTACAATTTTAAAACAAGAAACTGTACTTGCCTTTTTTTTTTTTGTACCAGGGCTCAAATTCGGGTCCTTGTGGTGCAGGCAGCAGAACTACTGAGCATTTAGCCCCGGGCCCAAGAAACTGTACTTTCATGAAAGGAATAAATACAATTTTTAGGGACCACCAAGGATGAAGAAGTCTATAATTCTAAAGAGATAGAAGATTTTACATCTTACAGCTAGTGTGGCCATCCTTTGTAACCAACCTTTGAAATTATGAGTAATTTAGTCAAGACTGGAGCTCATAATTCATCATTAGAACTCTTATTTCCCTCTAAAGGAGGGCATTTTAATATTAAGATCAATAAAATATTGATTTGAAGACATATAAAAATTTCCTCTATGGTAGGCTGAAAATAGAAGCATATTTGACAGAATCTCAGCACTTTCATACAGAAATGGCCTACATTTTGCAATGATGCTTTCAGACTAGGATGTCTCAAATGTCCCAAAGATACAGAAACACCAAACAAAAATATTAAAGGAACTGAAAAGCTTGATTAATGGAAAAGGAAGAAATGCTTTATTACCTTACTATTAGCAGAGGTTTGGAGTGGGTAAAAAACCTAAATGTTTGTATCTGGAGACAAAAAAAAAAATTATTTCTCCTCCCTCAAAGAGTTATAAGTGCTATTAATCTGAAGATGAAAAACAGATTCTAAAATTTAGACTTTTTTATTACAGCAATAGTTCTCACAGTTTAGGTACATCAGAATCACCTGGAGAGCTTCTTAAACTACAAAGAAATGGTCCGCATTCCCAGAATTCCTGCTTCAGTAGATCTGGGGTGAGGCTTGAAATCGACATTTCTTGAAGATTCTGGGTGACCTTGGTGGTACGGGCCTCAGACTGCACTTTAAAACCACTACAGTGCACAGCACATGTTTAAAGGAAAAGTTCTCCCCCTTGCAATAGTGTTGGGATTTTTCACTGTCTAGCAGAGAAAGATGATGCTTATAGCACTCTCACATGTCTGACATGACCCTAAATTACAAGTGTTAAAAGATAAATCATGCACAATTTTTCCAGATGTTTAATCTGTAACTAACTGTACATAAAGCCCAGATGCAGGAAGTTCTAAGTTTCAAGTGAATTAAACATTGGATATTTGATTGATTTTTTATATTCTCACCTGATCTAATGTTTTGGGGTCACAGAGACATAATTTTGCCATTTTAGATAAAAAAGGCACCTCCTATCATGGATATATCTATCCTATTTTTTCCAGCATGAAGTAGCTGTGTCACATTGATCCCTGCTCTATTTATGTATTTTTGATGTGGGTAATCTACTAGTTATCATTGTATTTGTCATTTCATTAGTCTTTAGCTGTTTGAATTTTCTCAGCAAGAACTCCATGTGGCCCCTTAACAAGGAATTTTACTTGTAATGATTCCATCATTGTTACAATTCTTCAAAAAAAGGGGGCTCATGGACATATAAAATATTAGATGACCATGCTGTTTGAATAGAGAAGTAGGACATCCGGTATATCTAATTTAGCATGATTT